GTTGAGTGATTATAAGTCGTGTTGAGTGATTATACGTCGTATTGAGTGATTATACGTTGTGTTGAGTGAATATACATTGTGTTGAGTGATTATACGTTGTGTTGAGTGATTATACGTTGTGTTGAGTGATTATACGTTGTGTTGAGTAATTATAAATTGTTGAGTGATTATACGTTGCGTTGAGTGATTATAAGTTGTGTTGAGTTATTATGTTGTGTTGAGTGATCATACGTTGTATTGAGTGATTATACGTTGTGCTGAGTGGTTATACGTTGTGCTGAGTGATTATGTTGTGTTGAGTGATTATACGTTGTCCTGAGTGGTTATACGTTGTGCTGAGTGATTATGTTGTGTTGAGTGATTATACGTCCTGTTGAGTGATTATACGTTGTGTTGAGTGATTATACATTGTGTTGAGTGATTATACGTTGTGCTGAGTGATTATACGTTGTGTTGAGTGATTATACGTTGTGTTGAGTGATTATACGTTGTGTTGAGTGATTGTGTTGTGCTGAGTGATTATGTTGTGTTCAGTGATTATGTTGTGTTCAGTGATTATAAAGTATGCTGAATTATTACGGTGTTTTGAGGGACTATGATGCCTATGTGATGCCTAACAAATATGTTATAATAACTCGTTTTAGGATGAGTATAATGAAGGTGATCGTGATCTAGTCATACAGAGCATTATGAGACGATATCCACACATCGAAATTGTCAGAAGATTCAGCAAAGTCGTCAACGGATTCTCAGCTGTAATGAACCAAAACGTTGCAGACAAGGTGAGACTGTTGAATTGTGGTTCTTGCTCAGCTTGTTTTGGGGCAAAATTTGAAAATGAAAACAACAGTTGAAACAATTCCTTTTTTCATTTAAAATCAAATTTTTGCTTACATAAAGACTAAATCAATATATTATCCATGTGGTATTAAATGCAATTTAGAACTACTACTAGATAGACAAATAAATCCCCGTTGTAGTGATAGCACTAATATTGTGAAGGTGTAGTAATGTAATGGGGCTTTTGATTTTGACAGTCATGATTGTTGTAGCAGTAGCGCTGGCGTGGTAGTTGTGGAGTCGTGGGCATAAATGGATACTTATGTGAATAGCCAACCAAACTAAAATTGTTTTTCTATTTCACTATACTGAATATTTTTATTTCGAGAAACACAGAGTTTTTACATTCATTCCGCACTTAAAGATGATATTTTCTTCTATATATACTTGAATAAAGGTGTTTCCATTTTACAGGTTCAACTATTGAAAGAAGTAAAATACGTTGAAAAAAACACAGTAATAGAGAAAGACTATAGCGTTGATAGTTGGGGCTTGGATCGAGTGGATCAAAGAGATTTGCCTTTGGACGATGCGTATTATCCAGAAGGTAAATTGATTGATGAATTAGATTTTGAAATAACCGGGTAATTTTTTCAAATATCATGGTAGTGAGCAATTATAATACAGTCAGGGCGAAATTGCACAAATACGTTAATACAAATCACCCCCTAATTTTCATGTTACAATAAGTTGGATTGCCATTCAGTACCCGTGTTACAATGTGTTGGATTGCCAATCAGTACCCGTGTTATAATGCGTTGTATTATGGGGTTGCCAATAATAATAATAATAATAATAATAATAATAATAATAATAATAATAATAATAATAATAATAATAATAATAATAATAATAAAAGGTAAGGTAAAAAGATAAGTAAAAACACAAAACGTTAAAATAACATAAGACTAGGTAGTAAAAAATTAATGTAGTCTGTGTTTTTCAAAACACACTTTCAGATACTGTGTCACATGTCTAATTAGTTTAGGATGGTTAGTATTATTAAGGATAATAAACTTGTTGATACTGTTTTCAGACTGGAAAGTGGGGATTTGCTCAGTACATTCAGTGTACATAATATCCCTTTCATCAGTGTAATAGCTACAGTCTGTAATAAAATGAACTTCATCTTCAATACTGTCACTCCTACACTTATCACAAAAACCTGTTCTCGAATGGGATTTTAGGTCTCTTATATCTGCCTACTTCTATTTTGAGTTTGTTACAACTAAGTCTCAATTTAGACAGTAAATATCTTGTCTATTATTTAACAGTTGTAGGTATTTAGCTGGACTAATATCACTTTTAAGTAGACTGTAAGATCTGAGTTTGGCATCTGGTCTCTTGATATTATTAATCCACTTGTTAGTATAATGGTTTTTAGTTTTCTGGTAGAGTACCTTACTAGAAACAGTCAGGAGATCAATATTATACAGGTCTTTAATTTTGTTAATGTCTTCTAACCATGATCCTTTATAGCAGTTGTTTTCAAGTTCTTTGACTGCATGGAAAGTAAAATTAATTAGACCATTGTTTCTAATGTTTTGGTAGTACATGACAGCTTGAATTTGAATCTTTGAAATTAAAGGTAGCCTGTCAGTTTCAAGCCTACAGCCTATTGTACTACTTCTATTATTAATATTAAAAATGTGCCTACAATATTTTAGGTGAACTTTTTCAGTAAAAGTAACTTTTCTGTCTTAACCGATATACCCCATAACTCAGATGCATATAGTAAAATAGGTAGTTGTAACATTTCAACAAATTTAGTCTTATGTTTAAAGTTGTTGGAATTGTTATCATAAAAATTATATATTATCAGCTTTTCTAGCCTTATCTGAGAGTCTCTCCATTGTCTTGTTTAGGAAGCCATTGCTGTTTAATTGTCACACCCAAGTATGTGAATGTCTTAGTATGGTTTAATGTTATGTCATCATAAGTAAAAAATAGATCATCTGATCTCTGCTGGATTTTAGAAAATGTCGTGGTCTTTGTCTTAGTGGTGTTGATCGACTTCCAAGCCCAATTAAATTAGTGGTATAATTATGAGGTGCATCAAGTAATGACTGCAATCCCCTCTTGGAAGTTGATGTAAGAACAATATCATCTGCAAATAATAAACTAGATATTTTTATCTTATCTAGCTCAGGTCGGTCAGTAGCAGTCTTATTTAATACTTCAACAAGATCATTAATGAAAATACTGAATAAAGTGGGGCTAAGGGGGCATCCTTGTTTGACTCCATTGGCTGTCTGAAATTCGGGTGTAATTTTGTCATTAAGCTTGACATGGAATTTAATATTTGAGTACATGCTTTTGATAATGTTATATAATTTTATATATTTTTACCTGACTCTCCAGTACCTCTGTATAAGTAGAGCAATCCAAGGAATTATTGTATATCTGACAACAAAAAACAATTGAATTTGCCGTTCCGTAAACGGCCGTATCAGCCCATGTTCCTAAATGCATTATCACCCATTCGAACGTTTTTTTCTTTCCTAATATGGGGTAAACTGCGTCACCAACACTGACCCGTTCCAGGTTATTAACATCGAAAGCCAGCGTTCGCATAGCGCAAAACATGTTGTTGTTTTTTTTTTTGTCATTTCGAGTTGTAATATTAAATTATTACTTCAATGTAGGAAAAACAATGTATAATAATAAAATTACCACGAGAATACCGGAAAGTATACACTTAGGCAGTATGTGTATTCGGTCGATACGATAACTGACTGTCTTCGTAGATATTTAGCAGTATATTCGTGATACGCTCAATTGTTACAAAAATCTATTTTTATGTGCAAGAATGTAGCAATGAAGTTATGAATGCTAATCTCGATAAGACATCTTTGGGTAAAATAAGCATACTAGGGGGGAATACTAGTAATCTTCTTTTTTTGCTGATGTGATATTCTGGCAATTTTTTTTCTGACAAGTTCTACAATTAATACACAACTTGACAATTTAACCATTAGAGTAATGTCGCTTCAGTGTTCTATAATATTATGTTTGTATTTGACTTTTTCAGGCGATGCAACCGGTGTCAATGCATATGTCGTTGATACTGGAATACGATATGATCATGTTGATTTTGAAGGCAGGGCTAGTGAATTCCTAGATACCGTAGCTGAACCGGTAAGAAAACTACAATACAATTATTGACCTATAACCTATGACATGTTAAGGTGCACCCTAATAAACGTTATGTAATTTTCTCGTGACCTTCAAAAGTAGTTCCATTAAATATTGTTTTTTCCTGTTTTCTTTGGATGTGCTGAGATGACGTTTAAAAAAATGTTTAACCTGTTTACCACTAGTTCCCTCTTTTCATCGAAAATTCACATATAGTCCCGTTTGTAGTCTGCATTTTCCTTCCGAAGATTTGGACAAAAATAGCCAAATTGTTTGTTAAAAAATTAAAATTGACTCAGATTTTGTTTGTTGGCTCCAAAATTAGGTTTTCTATAAATATTCAAGAATATAAGAAAACAAGGCAGAACAATTTAGTCAAGAAAGTCACGTGGTGAAAAGGTTAGGCCGAATTCTTTGAAATTCTACAAATGTATTGCAGTACAAATTAATTAATGACATTAGTCCGCAAAACAAGCCTAAATACTGTAAATAAAAAAAATAATTTTTTACAACGCATCATTGTTTTTAAAGAACATATTTTACTTCTTGCAATAGATTTCAATTAATTACCAAAACACAAATTTAATATATGGAACAAAATTTCACATTTACGCAGCAGAAACTTAATACCTGTACTAATTATATAGGTGTATCTGCTTTGAAAAAAATAAACTACTGTGTTGGAAATTTATCTGACCAAATTGGATTATTAATTAGTGTTGTTTTGCAGTACACTGATTATTGTAAACACTGCCACGCATGCGCAATAATTATTATTGTGTGTGTCTATCAAGTCGGTGCAAATACGTCTTAGGAACTTTAATATTTGTGTACATTTAATACTCGTGTATGATGGTTGCAAGAACAATATAGTTTTGTTAGTACAGGATAGATCATAATCAAATATATTATTATTCAACATACAATATTAAATAATATTAAAAACGACGAATTATCGTCTATATCGCTTACTTAGGGTAATGGTGGTTTGATGACATATATATTCTCATCACTAATACTAGTGAATGAAATAAACGAATGTCATTTCAACAAATACTTCAACGAAATAAATGCATATAATTTGAAATGGCAGTATGATAAAACAAAATAAAATTTGTAAGAACAAATTACAAGTCTGTTACCTCGTTTACATGGTGGCATTTTATCGTAGCCTAACGGCCCGGCTCGAGCCGGGGATAGTTGTTTGCCAGCGGTGATTGGTACAAATCATTCATTTGCTGCATTCTTACTTGTTTTTTGAGCGTTATTTGTTTGCCAAGAAACTTAAAGCGGGGGTTCGTCAACTAGCATGCGTTAGGTGGCCATGGCGTGTCATTGTTTACAAACAAGCGTCTACCCATGAACCTTTGCGTGTGTTGTTGTCATCGCTTGAGACTCAATTCCCGCGCGTGCGCAGGTGACGATCCCTCCCGCTTTAATATGTAAGATGGTCATCGGGTGACATCAATATCTTAGAGGTGTTGGTCTAAACTCGGCTCCGTTAAATTATTTATTTCATTACTGAGATATTCAAATAAATTATTGACACGTTTATGTAAAGAATAACACAATTTGCTTTGTCAATCTTCCATTAACTATTTGTATATACGTTGTTAATTTGCTTCCATCAAGGCACCTTACGGGGATTGTGATGGCCATGGCACTCACTGTGCTGGCATTTTGGGAGGCGCACTATATGGCGTTGCAAAGAATGTTAACCTGCTCGGTGTTCGTGTGCTCAACTGCGAAGGTGCTGGATATTTGGATGATTTAATCTACGGTAAGTTTCAGTGGTTCTGTTCGCACCTGCCATGTGTTTATATACTATCCCACAATCAGATCCCTTGAGGGATGATCGAGAAAAGGAATAATCAACCGACGCGTAAGGGAGTTCAACACGGCCGCACCGATACAGGATGATTGAGATACGCTGTACATTACCGGTCAAATACGGCTCGCTTAAACTAATGACGTTGCGGTGACAGATGTATAATAATTTCCGATATTAAACATCAAAGTTTATTGCGTTTTTTGTTTAACATCAATGTCAACTAAATTGTATTGCGGGGATTGCGAAATTACCATGGTATGTTCTATTTTCTATAACTTACATACACATACAAATTCCAATTCTAATACTAAAAGAATACCCCTACCAATGTGTTTCCATCATAACAGCTATGGATTATGTTGTTGCAAATGGAGAATTACCAGCTGTTGTCTCTATGTCCCTTGGAGGAGATAGAAGCCCGGTCATCGATAGCGCCGTGGGTAGAATGTTCGATGCTGGTTATTTCTTCGTCACTTCCGGCGGAAATAATGACGCCGATGCTTGTCTTCAGTCACCTCAAGGGGCTCCAAAGGTATATAACAATCGTTTACGTACAAACAGTCTGTATTGGTATAAATATTTATTTACATATCAAAATAACAATAAGATAATAATAGTATACGATATACCAAGACGATGAACATAAACATTTTTCACATGTGTTTGTATATACAAACCACATCCAGATTGTGTGCAATGGTTGATCAATACTTGATCAAGTGGGATTAAATCAAATTACTAGTACGCTGCGTGTTTATAGTTGCTTGTAAGTACGTCAAGAATTAACTCATTGCATCCGAACAACCGAGGAGTTACGTCATGAACACACTGAAAATGACCATCGGAATTGTCACTATCAATGTACTAAAATATACAGTTGAGAGTTAAAGCGGTGGAGTCGTCACCTGCGCATGCGTCAGGTGGCCATAGCGTGTCATTGTTTATAAACAAGCGTCTACCCATGAGCCTTTGCGTTTTAGCGTGTGTTGTTATCGTCTCTTGGGACTCAATTCCCGTGCGTGCGCAGGTGACGACCTTCCCGCTTTAACGTGCTACCGTCCAATCACACACACACACACACACACACACACACACACACATACACAAACATCATGATCATCTATGCAATTAATTCACAAGATGAATTACAAATTGCCGTAGATAATTATATCACGTACGTTTAATATAGCAGTGTATAATTTCTGTTGTTTTATTCTTTTGTTCGCATAGGCGTTTTCTGTTGCAGCAACCGATATCACTGACACCAGAGCCAGTTTTTCTAACTACGGTCCATGTATCAACATATTCGCTCCTGGTGTGGCCATAAAAAGCACGTACTATCACTCTCCTACATCCACGGCCGTTCTTAGTGGGACTTCCATGGCATGTCCACACGTCGCTGGTAAGTATTAATAAAATACCTTGTAGGCAGGAGACACGGTCTATGTAGTGTTTACCCTATTAGGGAACAAAAATCACTCTTATGTTAAACCGATTTTATGTTTTCAGCGATAATAGGTTTCAGCAAGAATAAACTAACTCAGTGTAAACAAAACTGGTTTACGGGCGTTTCATTTTGTTTATTGTTTCCGCTGCTTTTGATCATTGATTTCAAATACCACTATTTCCGAAGATCGTGGTTGGACAAGCACATCACGTGACACTATGGATGTTTTCAGTTCGACTCATAACTAAGTTATTTAATGTCATTTCTTTACAAAATTGCATGTTTTGGTTGTACGTATTGTGAAAATGCACTCACTAGTTTTCACAAACCATGGTTACATGGGTCAGGGGTTAGCCGGGCGATGATCGGAAAGAACAAAACTAGTTCGTTGCACTCAAGGACCATTATCATCCTAGGTCCACTGTAAGACTCATATGATAAGGAATACTTTTTACAAACTATATCAGTGCAAACACTAATATAAACGATCAAATTTGTCAAGACATTTTGGTATCAACCAATCATATTTAGAATGTGTTTAAATGTTTTATGACCATTGAGACATAAGTCTCCATAACATGTACAAAATGTATTTTTATACATCTGTCACCGTAACGCCATAAATTATTTTCATCCTACCATATTAGGAAATGCAAATTCCAAATATGAAATGATAAATAAATAATAATAGAACAATCATGGCTGCCTCCAGTCGAGGCGATTAATTTGTTTTTGTAGTTTAAATAAAATAAAACAAATCGCGAAATGGAAGTGTTAGCGCGAAATCCCTTGTAACTGCGAAATCACCCCGAATGATTTATTCTGCATGGCCCTCTATCGACACTGCAGGAACCCGTCGATTTTTCAACGGGTAATTATGTTAATAGTGTTCTAATTGACAATCATCTAAGCCAATCACAACATCTCTTCAACTGACCTCTGACCGAGAAGACGTCGGCTGATTGTAGCAGCCGTTTTTTTTTTTTTTTTTTTAATTCTACGACTAGTACGAGTTACTTTTAAAGTCTATTTACGACGACTACGACAAACTCAAATTTCAACGTGCAGCCATGTTGGGTCTGCAATGTGACCTTTACCATGTTGACCTCATTATGCACGTATTTCCGCACCCACCTCATTATAATATGTGCATCATGAATATTTAATAGCAATGAATTTCCTGCAGAATATACCAGTCGGGGTGATTTCGCGCTAACACTTTCATTTCGCGATTTTTTTTATTTTATTTAAACTAAAAAAAACAAACTAATCATCCCGACTCCGCCAGTCTAATACTATACTATAAAGCATGTAATACTGCTTCCCTATAGTTCGTTGCTTGTAATTTAATTGTATATTTGAACAGGTGCTGGCGCTATTCATCTCGGGATGAATCCAAACTTGTTACCAGACGAGGTCGGAGCTGCCCTTATCGCAGACGCTACAGTCGATCGTGTTATTGATGCAAAGGAAGAACTTGGAACTCCCAACGTACTTTTATACACCAGAGATCAGAGCCTACCCTAGGATACATAAATAATCACACTGTCTGTACTCTGTTATTGTAGAAACCACTGAGCTGAGTTTTCAGCCGCTGAGTCGCCGCCGCTGTGCAACTACCATGCCGGTTGAAAAATTAGTAAAACAATTCGCGTTCCGGTGGCACATTTCGGTAAGGAATCGTAAATAATACTATCCTCAGTTATCCGAGCTCACGTCCTGGCATTTGTATACCCGACTGTCTTCATTGTCGATACGTTACGTTCAACAACGATGCTGTGTATCTGATTGATACGGTATCCATGTTACATTGGGTCAGTGGACGTATTATAGTGACGTGTGAGGGCGTGGTTTGCTCATATTTGTTTGATGTGTCGACTTTTCGCTTAAAAAGTTCGATGATTAGTTGCGTGACAGCCAACTGATTCATCGGGCTAGGTAGTCGTACAGCGGGATGATTCATCGTTTGAAAACTCAATTCAGTGGTTTTTGCAGTAATACAAACAATGACATATTTGTTTATATACTCAAATTACTGACTCAAGATTATTTTAATTATAAATAAACAGACCAGTTATCTGGTACTCGTGATTTTATTACGAAAACGTGTTTCTAATTGAGTGAAAATACGCATTAAAATGCCCAGCCATTGCCCGAAACCCCTATCTGTTGCACGCGCCCTCTAGTGACGATGACCTTCTGTGAGATATATTGAAAGGATGTTCCTTCGCAGCGTCGTTGTATTATTTTGATTTGGAGCTGCCAATAAATGAACAATAAAGAGATTTGAAATTTTCTAAATAATACACAAAATATAGATGTCGATGTAAACAACGTTGAAGACACTCATTGACATCGCGTTATCATCACGGAAACAAGAGGGCGCTGTTGAATCAGCGATTTCCTTCGCTGTATCCTCGGGGCAGAGATACGTCAAAGAACGTTCTATGTTGCTAAGAAAGGGCACCACTTTACCACGTATTTCTATTGGCTCTGCGCGAGCTGGTGTGGAACGCCGAGCGAAGAGCTGGTGAAAATAGCTAAATTCGAGAAAACAGCACAAACTCAACTTTGAAATAATCCTGAACAAACGTGACCAAATTTATATATGTTACACACGAAAGGATAATCTTGTTATACTGTTCAGGGGAGTCTCAATAATTATCCCAAAGTACCGTTTCCTGATAGTTTTGGCCTTTGTTTTCACCGTGATGGTTGCCAGGCGGCAACAATACCCGGATGTCCGCCCGAAGATAGATATTAGCTATAATGCGTCGCAGTTTTAAAGCCAGGGATGTATACAATGAACAAGAAAAAAAAAAAAAATACAAGTAAATATTTCTCCAAATATATCTGGGATATTATATTGTCTACTGACTATATTGCTGTGTGTTCAGAGTGGTTTCGTATTTAATCAAATATATTCGGTTCTTGGAATAATATAATGCTTTAACAACACGTTTAAGCGTTTGAATTATTTACAGTTCTTTCACGTTTTGTCGGGTCACCTGCTAATGAAGAGCGTACGCACTGTTATAGTGTTTTCTACTGAGATTCAGTAACCCTCTGGTGACTTTTATTCAGTCTCTAAAGATTGGCGAAGAAATCGATCAATTGCCAGTCATAATGAAAACACTTCAAACAATGTTTGTATTGCATGTGTACATCCTCCGAATCCAATTTACTTAATAATGAGGTTTTAAGCTCCGGTAGCTAACTTCCTTGCTTTGTAATTTAAGTACTTTCTGCCTTCGTTGACGTCAAATTCATTGTGGGTGTTAGTAGACAAGTTTGTTGAGCTATAATTTGCAGATTTTGCCACCCTAGCGGTTAGAAATCAGCGCACTTGGAATCGTGCACTCCCTTTTCGGTATGGTTGCAGGTTCACTATAGCTATTGGCATATTAGCACGGCGCTGAATTGACAATATATAGTAGGAACTACGTTGGCCTTTGGCTGGAGGGAAATATTAGATTTTGTTTATGAAGAATTCGGAAATAACGAATGTAAAAAAGCAGTAAAAAAAAGCTGAAATTGACGCTGAATATCCATGACTATAAGGGTAGTAGAGTTCAATTGGAACATCCCTAAAATTTCCCTTTCTCGAAATGTCCTTTTTTGAACATTGATACTCCTGGAAATTGGGTCATGGGTCCACTCTCTTCAGGGCACTGAGAATTTCTGGAATCTCAACAAACAAGTAGTGATACCACAAGAATTCCCCCATACCAATTTTGGCCCCTCCCTGATTGGCGTCCTTCTGATTGACAGCTAGTTCCTTGTTTGGTGTTATCATTTGATCTTTTTAATAAGGTGACATTTAATTATTATGTGGTCCAATGACAATTGAATTTATGTTATTGACATAGCCTTATTCTGACTTTGACTCCGAGTCCACCTTGAAATTTGGCTAAAATATTGATTTGAAACGGAGATTTCGCTCACTATATGGAGAGAGACGATGAATTACTAGTATATCAGCCTGGGTACGATTTTAATTATTTTAAATTGGATTGGAAGTGTTGTTAATACCTTCGGTCGTTCTTTGAGCTATGTTACAAGAACCACGGGTATACACTAAATGGACGTTTCCCGGGAGACGTTAATATCACGTGTTTTACTGATAAAGGTGTTAGCGTTGTTTATTGAGTAGCTGTATGTTTCAATATGTCTGTGACTATGCTGTTGATGAGGACTATCTAATTGACGTAGTCAAACATAATTATAATTATCGTGAGGTTTTTTTTTCATCTCGATTTTCTTGATTAGTGTTACAGTAAATACGAAAGTTTTTTATGTATGTTTTCTAATATATAAAACGTTGTGAGGCATCTGAGGCATATCGGTTCTAATTGTCGAAGATGGATACAACACGTTACCCAAGAGTTTGCTACGAAATGCTGGGAACGTCATTCGCAGTAGGTGGAATTACCTGGGCGACCACAATAAATGAGCTACTTTTTATGTATAGGTTTGATCATTTATGAGCAAAATACAAAGCAATAGGGCAAGAGGTTGGACTACGTGTGAAACAATTTCATGTAATAGCCGAAGAAAGCAATGATCATTCAAATGTGTCAATTGAAGTTGACGTGGTTATGTCGATGGTAGATTACATCAGTAGCGTGGTGTTACCTTTCTTGTCATTGGCATGGCGTATTTACCGTATGTTATGAATTACTCTCACAGAAGATCAGAGGCATAATACAAACTGGGTCAGTTTATTTGTAGTTTTTTGTTTTGCATATTTGTATTGAATGAGATCGGTCAAGGCATGTCGACTCAACGACGCTAATAATCAGCATTCGTTAAAGTAAAAGGACCGCCAGTCAGCCATTTTGAATCTGGGGAATTTCCAATGTATATTTCCAGTTCCTAGCAATATTTCAAACTGGCATCGTGTTTGAGTCGGTTATGTGGAAAAGCGCCCTCGTTCTTCACAATGTTTGAAGTTTGAATCATAATCGGCAAGTACATCACCTACCTATATTTGTTTATGAAATTCACAAAATGCATCCAGTAATAAAGTATGGTTTAACCATTGAGCTAAGCTTCATGGATCAACATAGTTGTAGTATATATTATTGCCTACGTCGGGTCAAATAAGCGCTCATGTAAATATGAAAGTGTGAAGGTCGCAATATGTGTTCAAGTATTTTCGCAAAAGTACTTAAACCTGACACGCGCGATTTTAACGTGGATATGGATATGAAGAAATCTGGGGCAGGTTGGCTTCTCAGTCGAGTTTTGTATGAATAAATGTAAGATTGAAGATTATTGAGCGTAGAAATAATAACGAAACTGAAACATTATGCCTCATCATTATGGTAATTCTCAAAGTCATTACCAACACAACGAAAACCAAATAATTGAGACACGCATTGTTCGAACACTAATTAGTTTACCATCCAAATATATCATTATGACAGTCTAGTGACTGCGTCATTGTCGTTACTGATGATCATGCGTTCTTCTTGCTATAACTGTAATTAAATTCCGGACCACGCGTGGAGCAGGATGTGTTCCATTTCTTGTTTTCAACACACCTGACATCACTTCCTGTATGCCTCGAGGTGAATACACATTTCTCTCAAAGATGTCACCATGTAAATGTGCTGTACAGTAGTTTGCATGTTTGCTTTTTTCGTGAATTCGCTATAAATAACAGAACATGACGATATATATATTTTGACTGATGACATTTCTGCCGCTCGTACCAATTCAATGCATTGCATTTTGATTATGAATGCATCTCCATCGAATCTGGGTATTTTAAAATCGTAATAAATTAAAGTTTATGGCGAACATTGAGAATAGGATTTTATGAAACGATGTTTTTCAAATAATTCAGTATTAATATTCTCAGCTGTATTCAATATCTCATATTCATATTCATACTGTTATTATTTTATCTCGTTTTTAAATTTATGTGTGATTTCACAGATCATTATCAGTGTATGTGCACTCAACTCTATGTGTTCCTATTGCTAAGAAGGTGTTCAGCACAAAACCACACAATGGAAAATCACGCGTCCATCTAAACAACATTTCTTTCCCAACTATCAATTACAAGCGGCAGATCTGTAGAATCGACTCCGAATAATGGAAATAATTGTCAGATAAATAAAGTACAACTGAAAGCTAATCAGGAAGCTACCTAAAAGCTCTTATTGCTTTGAATGAGCCGTAATTATGTGGGAATTGTGAATAATAAACCAGAACGAATAATATATGAATATACCTTCCGACTGAAATGGTCGCCGTGATCTCGTTAATAGCAAGAATGCAACGAGATTCGAGATTCCCCCTCAAATAGTGTTCTGTTTGAACACTTTTTCATTCATTTCCAAATTGGAAACTAGACGATATCTTACTCGGACAAAATTGATTGCCATAACAAACAATGCTAATGAATAAATTACTCCAAAAGTTACTCTGTAATTTATAGTATAAGTACGCGACACACTGACGTTCCGCTGCACGTGAAAATAAAAACAATTCGAACATCATCTACAATTTAAATGCGG